GAAGGGGTGAGGGAGGGGGTCATAGGGATGAAGCGGGGAACTGGGAGCTAGGAAGGTGTGGGTGTTTACCCTGACACGAACTGAGAGCCTCACTTGATACGAAGAGAGAGAGAGAGAGGGTAGGATTGTACAACTTTATGTTTAGATTCGTTTGGGATTTAGAGTGAAGCATATCCTTTTAACGTCTTGATGAAAACAAATGGCACAGCGCGTTTCTTCTTGAGCAATCAACATTTGTAGATGTCACTCTCCTATTTTCGTTTTACAAGGTGGTAGTGGATAGCCCTGCAGTGCCAGCGGCTGCCTCCGGGCCCAGTCTCTAAGTACAAACCTGCCAAGCAAAGTTCGTCGGAGTAAGCTCTCATAGCGCCTGGTGGGTAGGCAACATCTGGTCTGCAACGCACGCGTGTGCTGCAGGATGGCCTACCCGGGGTCTCACAGGCGCTGAGCTCCCGTGCCTAGAGAAATTAATCCGAGGGGGTAATCAATTGCGTACTAACTGGTGCACTTAGTCCTCCTGTACCGCGTAATAACGCGAGAACTAAATGGAGAAAATCAAGCGTTATAGTGCTGTCATACCATAATTTTGCCTCATTGAAGAAAAATGACGCCAAAATAGGATCTACTAACGTGTGCTAACTTACTAACTCGTACCCATTTTTTCTGGACTGATTTTCCCCACAAATAAATCTGACGAAATCAGGGGTACTTTCGGGACGATTTCCATTATATGTCCTATCCCAAATCTGTCAGGGTATGTCAGGTAAAGTTGCATCTTTTTGGTAGCGCGTTACAGAATGTTGTGTTGTTTGTTATTTTTCACTGGAGATTCAGATCGTTAAATATGCGTGTTTTTTGATGTCGCTTCACGCGTGTGAAAACAGGGGTCCTTCCTGGAAGGGATTGTGTGGACGTATGGGGGGAAGGGAGCGAGATTTTGTAGGGAAACACACAAAGCAGCTCGCAGGGAAAACAAATCCCTGTTTCCTTTATTTTTCTCGCTTTACAGCGAATGTTTGTTTCCGGCTGGGAAAGCATACGACTCGTTTCCCTTTATTATTTTCCGCCGCTACTACCGGGACACGGTGA